CTCTCTCTCTTTCAACATGGTATCAAAGAGGAAATCGATCCCTCTTTAAATTTCTTTATTTTTAATCTTATTCAGACTCCGATCTTGATTCGATCTCGGCTTTCTCTCAATCTCTTCTCGGCGATCTCTCCTCGGTGATCTCAGTTCTCCTCTCAGCAATCTCTCTCGGATCCCTCCTCTCTCCTCGATAATTTCTCTCGGGTTCATCTCGGCTAGATCTTGGTTCTCTTATCTCGGTTCCCTATCGCTACTATATCTCATTTGTTCGGTAGCTCTTGTGATGGATGCTAAGGAATCCCATCTTCTTGGGTCAATCACTAACACCAAACTGGTAAAGCGTGAGTGTGCAAATCAGCCCCCCTCCACCGCTACTATCATTTCCAAATGATGTTTTCTGACAAAAATCCTTTTTCCATTCCTTCATAGGTGTTTGGGTGTGTCTGTTTTGTTCATAATCTAAGCCCATAACGAGATAAACTTGATCCTCGTGCTCACAAATGTATTTTCTTAGGTTATTCTCGCACTCAAAATGGATATAAATGTTATAGTCCAACTCTTCGTAAACATTTTGTGTGTGCAGATGTAACTTTCTTTGAGGATGTTCCTTATTATTCTCAGGAAGGCAATCGCCTGGAGGACTTTGTTCTTCCAACTCCAGTTTTTGATTCTGACATCCCACCAGCTCTTCGTGTCTATGCTCGTCGCCGGAAAAGAGTAGTTAATCATTTTCCAATGACTGAATTAGTAAACCCAACCTTGCCACTTCCACCAGTCGCTTCAACGCCTGTAGATTCTTCCATCTCTCCGGACTCTAATCTTGATCAACCTATTGTTGTTCGGAAAGGTAAACAGTCTTGTACCAATCACCCTATCTCTAATTTTGTATCGTATAATAAATTGTCCTCTTCCTTTCAAGCTTTTTCTTTGTTATTATCCTCTATTGCTATTCCTAAGTCCTACAGGGAGGCACTTTCTCATCCAGGGTGGAGGAAAGCTATGGAAGAAGAAATAAACGCTTTAAAATTAAATCATACTTGGGACCTTGTTCGTAAGCCTGCTGATACTCAGGTTGTTGGTTGTCGTTGGGTTTTTACTGTTAAATAGAAGCCTGATGGTACTGTTAACCGTCTCAAAGCTCGACTTGTTGCTAAAGGCTACACTCAGACTTATGGCCTTGATTATACTGAGACGTTCTCTCCTGTGGCCAAACTGAATTCTATTCGTGTGATAATCTCTCTTGCAACTAATCTAGACTGGCCACTTCATCAACTTGATGTTAAAAATGCCTTTCTGCACGGTGACCTTAATGAGACAGTCTATATGACTCAACCACCTGGGTTTGAGTATAAGGGGGAGTGTGTATGTCATCTCAAGAAATCTATCTATGGCCTCAAACAGTCCCCTCGTGCATGGTTTGATAAGTTCAGTAAAGCAGTGGTAGCTAATAATATGACCAGAACCCAAGCTGACCACTCTCTCTTTTTTAAGAAAACGAAACGTGGTATTGTGATTCTTGTGGTGTATGTAAATGATATTGTTATCACCGGCAGTGACAAAGATGGGATACAAGTTCTAATCCATCACTTGAGTTCTAGCTTCCTTACAAAGGATTTGGGCAAACTTCGGTATTTTCTAGGAATTGGGGTGGCTCGATCGAAGCAAGGCATTAGTCTTTCTCATCGGAAGTATACTCTTGATCTATTACAGAATACTAGATATCTTGGTTCGAAACTTGTAGCTATACCCATAGAGACTAATGTAAAACTTAAGGTGGATGATGGTGACCCACTTGATGATCCAGAGATGTATCGAAGGCTTGTAGGTAAACTTATTTACCTCACAATCACTCTTCCAGACATCTCCTATGCAGTCAGTGTTGTGAGCCAGTTCATAACCAGTCCTCGTGTACCTCACATGGAGGCAGTTGTATGCATCTTGAAGTATCAAGGGTGCTCCGGGACGTGGTATGCTTTATCGATCTTCTGGACATCTTCGGATTGAGGGATATACAAATGCAAATTGGGCCGGTTCTCCTTCTAATCTACGGTCCACCACGGGTTACTGCACGTTCACAGGAGGAAATCTAGTAACTTGGAGGAATAAGAAACAGTTAGTTGTGGCTCGCTGCAGTGCTGAAGCAGAGTATCGTGCCATGGCACACACTGCCTGTGAATTTACTTGGTTGAAAACTGTTTTACAGGAACTTGGGATTTCAGTCCAGTACCCAATTCCTCTCCATTGTGACAATCAGGCAGCTATTCATATTACTAGCAATCCAGTCTACCATGAGAGGACTAAACACATTGAAGTAGATTGCCATTTCATTCGATCTAAAGTTGACTCGAATGAGATTGTTACACCTTTTGTTCCTTCTGGCAGACAGCTGGCAAACATCTTCACTAAGGCGCTTCCCAAGAACTCTATTGATTTCATATGTGGCAAGCTGGGAGTTATTGACATTTACTCTCCAGCTTGAGGAGGAGTGTTATACAATATTGTACGAGTTGTCACACGTGTATAGTTAGAATTGTATGAGTTGTCACCTACCCCTCATTACCATATATAGAATTACCATGTATAGGGTTTTCTTGTTCTCCACTCACCTACTCCCGTAGCTTTTTCTATATAAACACCATTGTATTCTTGTATTGCTTAATAACATATAAGTTTTCATATATTCTCTCTCTCTCTCTCTCTCTCTCTCTCTTTCAGCAATGTCAGGTTTCACTTCTTCAGAGATGTGGTTGCACAAGGTGCTATTGCAGTGAAGAAGATTGGGAAGGTAGAGAATCCGAAAGATATGATAACTAAGGTCATTCCTACACTCAAGTTCAGACCCTGCCTGGACTTGATTGGTACTTGTAGTTGTTGAGGCCCTTAGGGTCATATAAAGGAGGCGAAAGCAGTAGCTAGAGATTTTGGAGCTTAGCGTAATTCGAGCCAAGGTGTAGATTTGTGATGTTGTGGCCTAAATTTTGTGTCGCATCATGACCCACGTTACGACCCGCTTTGGGAATCTACTAGCTAAAGCCGAATCCCCACACCTTCTATCTTCCTAAAACCTGACATTACTCTCGCTTCTAACTTTGAATTGAATACGTTTGAAGAATTCATCCCAACCTCTACGGATTAGTTTCCAAGAGTCCATACCTGCTGGGGTTCTAGCCTCCCTAGAAATCCACCCTCCCTGTAATGACAAGCTATAACACGCCTCTAAAGCTTGGACCTCTCTCCCCCAAACCTCCGCAACCACTTACCCAACAACGCCTTACTAAACACATCCAGCCTTCGAATACCCAAACACCCCCTTATTAATAGGGGAACACACCCTCTCCCAGTTAACCAAGTGGTACTTGAACTCATCTCCTAAACCACCCCACAAAAACTTCCTCTGAAAATCATCGAGTCTACGGCCAACTATCTTAGGCATCAGAAAGAGCGACATATAGTATGTCGGGAGATTTGAGCGTGTGCTTTTCATAAGAGCAACCCTCCCCCCTTTGGACAAGTATTGCTTCTTCCAACCTGCAAGCCTCCTCTCAAACCGCTCAACAATCAGATCCCACATAGAAACTCTCCTGGACGAGGCTCCCAAAGGGAGTCCCAAGTAAGAGATCGGAAGAGAGCCAACACCACACCCCAGGGTATCAGCCAAGGCTTGAATATCATCCACCTCCCCAACTGGTACAATCTCGCTTTTCACAATGTTAATCTTCAACCTTGAAACAACTTGGAAGCAGGCCAACATGCACCGTAAATACCTAAACTGAAGGAGGCTAGCATCACAAAAAACAATGGTGTCATCCACAAAAAGCAAGTGGGGGATGACCAACTGATTTGGAATTCTACCCACCGAGAATCCATGAATGAACCCAAGTTCTCCTGCCCTCCCCATCAGACAGCTATAAGCCTCCATGACAATAATAAACAAGAAGTACTATGTTATTTTCTTTCGCATGTTTTAAGTTAAATGCTCAAAATTTTATTTGGTCAATAGGATTTAATTGGAGCTTTTAGCATTTTTGAATTGGTGGATGTATTTCCTTTTTTATATTCATGTCTAGTTTTCATCTATATGTTCAACGTCTTTTTAATGATTTTTTATAAGTATGTTCAACGTCTTTTACATATGTTTATTATGTCAATTTTGTGAAAAAAGGTGGAGAAAAAGGCAAAAAACTTATTGTTTTTAAGTATTCATAAATTAAGGGGGAGCAAGGTTTTAATGTTTTATTGCTTGCTTGACTTATACTTGTTTAAAACACATTTGGTGATTACATATCTTCTTCGCATTGATATAACGCACTGACTATAGCGTTTGTGTTTTGCAGCCTATATGTAAGTGAATCTACTGAAAAAACATTCATGTTCTAAGACTTTTTATTTTTAATTTTCAATGTAATGCTTTATTATAAATGTTTATTATTATTAAGTCGATAGGACTTAGGTCCCAAAATTTCGTGTCAAAAGCTTGAGTCTGTAATATTTTTTTTCATTTTTAGTTAGACTTTTTAATTCTTGTTAGAGTTAGCAGGTTAACTCTGTCCAAGGGCATAATCAAAAGACAAAACAACATTCAAGGGCAAAAAGGTAAAATTCAATACTTCTGCATGCACTATCCAGTTAAGGTTTATGCATTCACCAATTTAACTTTATATGTTCCAAGTTTCATAAATAAAAATCCTTTTTAATATGCTTTTAGATGTTTAGTAGAATTTGCACACTGTATACATACTAAAGTATTCCTCTTCAATATGGTTCCTTATAGGACCGCGTGGACTACAAAAAAAAAAAAAAATCAACTGTCCCTTTGAGGCACGGAATTATGATTCCTGAAAAATAAGACCATGATTTTATCTTTCAGTTTGTCTACTCATATAGATTACTACAGTAACTGGTAAAGCACCCCTCTTTAAGTTGCTAGGTATACCACAGTCAGATTCTCCTGTCTCCGGAAAAATGAAAAGAACATAATAAGAAAAAAAAAAAAACAAACTCACCTTTTTATCTTGTACCTCTGGAAGAGCAACTTGTTCTAAGCTTTGTTGCAGTTCCAACCGGTATTGCGCATTCCTAAACATATATCCAGTCATCAGAACGCTGTACATGAGCTGTGCAAGATTTTCAGCAACCTGAAAAAATGCCAAAATATTCAAAATTATAACCTTTCAAATTAGAATTGATGCTAACTATCAATCATTAAAATTTCCCAAAGATACAAGTGTTTTAAATGTATGCACTTACAGTCGTCACTGTTACTGCAAAAAATTGTGGGGGTAGTGTTCCAATCATATTTGTTACTGTTTGGCGCATAGCATCGACTACCTAAAAAGGATACCATACGAATGGAAAAGCAGAAGGAAAATAAAAATAAAAAATCATCAATGATGTAGACAACTATTAGGTCATTAAGTTAATTAAATGAAACAGTACCCAAAAAAGAAAAATAATTAAATAAATTTACAGCTGTAAGAGGATAAGAATATCAAACCTGTTGGGGTGCCCTTTTCACGAACAACTCCATGAATTCTGGTTGTATATTTTTGACATATTCCAGCAATATATCCCTTCTGCTCTTTTTCTGCTTTTTAAATTCAAACAAAATATTATACTCTAAATCAATTTAACAAAAAATACTTCTAACGTCTTTCTAGTGCCCTGATTACAAGCCATATCAAGAAAGAAAAATTCAAATTATGCAATTTTCTGATCAAGTACAACATGAATTCAAACAAAATGGGGTGCACTGCATGTGCCTGGAATGTATGTAAAAAGCTGAAACCCTAGATCTCCCAAAAACTGTGCTACAAACTACAAGCAAACAAATACTTTTAGATGCACATTTTCAAATCCTTCAAAAAACACAATGGAAGTTTAAACATAGTGAAGAAACTTGAGCATGCAGAAGAAAAGTCATAAACTACTATTGCAAGCAGTCATTAATTAGATTTTTAAAATATATCAATTTTTTTTTTTTTTTTGATAAATAAGCAATTCATTAAAAGCGTTCAAAAGAGAAACACATCCCTACAAGACCACAAAATCCTGGGTACCCTAAGGCCCCAAGGAAGCCAAAAACTCAACAGTCTCCTCAACAAAGGAACAAAGTCTACCTGAACCCCAAAAAAAGGAGAGAGCTAATAACAGAAAATTTCAGAACAGTGACCGAAGATTCCTCTCCTTCAAAGGATCTTCTATTCCGCTCCCTCCACAAACACCACCAAAGACACAGTGGCTCCATCATCCAAAACCCTCTAGCCTGTGCTCCCACCCAACCCCCTCTCCAGGTGTCCATCAAACCTCTCATAGATCTAGGCATGACCTAGTAAACTCCTAATAGACCTAACAAAAGATTCCAACATTCAACCGCCACTGGACAATGCAAAAGAAGATGGTCAACCGACTCGCCATTACACTTACACATGCAACACCAATTCACCACAATATGCTTTCTCCTTCTCAAATTATCTAGTGTCAATATTTTACCCCACACGACCGTCCAAGCAAAGAAAACCACTTTCAATGGCACTTTAGTTCGCCACACTGCCTTCCAAGGGAATACCACCCCAGCTGAGTCCAAAAGGCATCCGAAAAAAGATCTCATACTAAACATTCCCCTAGAAGAAGGAATCCAAACAAAAGAATCCCTACCTCCTCTATGGATCACCTGGCTAGACAACAACTCTAAGAAACCAGAAACATCATCTCTCTCCCAGTCCTGAAAAGATTGCTGAAAAAGCACGTCCCAAACTGGTCTCCCGCTATCAAGGTGATAGCAGTCAACCACCGAGGCATGCCTATTAGCCGCAATCCTAAAAAGTCTAGGGAAAGAACATGGTAAAGTGCGATCTCCACACCACACATCCTCCCAAAACCAAATCTCCATACCATCATGAACTATGAATCTGATATGCTTAGAAAACTCATTCCATCCCTTCCGAATGGCTTTCCAAACACAAACACCTCCAAATAGACACCATAGCAGAGCCCTCCCCCCCCCCCCCCCCCCAAACAAAAAAAAAAGCGATACAAGATAACCCATAAACTCATCCCCTAAACCTCCCCATAGGAAGTTCCTCTGAAGTCTTTCAATACAAGCAGCAACCGAGGACGGAATCTGGAAAAGGGATAAAAAAATTATATAGGAATGCTCAACAAAGTGCTTTTCAACAAGGTAACCCTCCCACCTTTTGATAAATATTGTTTCTTCCCCCCCGCAAGCCTCCTCTCCACCACCGGATCCCAAGCACCTACAATCCTCGAAGAAACCCCCAGAGGCAAACCCAAGTAAAAGATCGAAAAAGAACTAACTCAATAACCAAGAACAGAAGCTAATTCCTCAATCTCCGAAACCTCCCCCACTGGAATCAAAGCGCTCTTCCCCACATTCACTTTCAAACCCGTGACTGCCTGAAAACAGATCAACACCGACCTCAAATATCTCATCTGAGACACCTCAGCCTCGCAAAAAACAAGAGTATCATCCGCAAATAAAAGGTGAGAAATCTCCAGCTGATGCATATCATCCCTTCCCACCCTAAAACCCCTGATGAAGCCCACCTACACAGCCCTCCCCATCAATCTACTAAGCCCCTCCATCACAATGATGAACAGAAGTGGGGACAAAGGACAATAAATGATGAAGATCAAGAAAGTAAGCAAAGGATATCATAGGAAAACAGTGAGCAAATCACATAAAATATTCAAATAGTTTAAATTTCATTAATTAAGCAATAAGCTAAGAAGCACAGAAACAGATACGGGACACGGATACAACACGAACACGGCGATACGTCAAATCCAAAAAAATTAGGACACGGATACAGTGGGGACACGGCGAATAATAAATATATATTATATATATGATATTATACTTCAAAAATTAAGAGTAATATTATTTTTTATCAACCTATTAATGAAAAAAATTAGAAAAAAAAAAAAAAAAAAAATTAGGGTTTAGTTAAAAAAAAAAATTTTTTGATAAGTAAATTGTATTAAAAGCATTCAAAAGGGGAACACGTCCCAAACTATACAAAGACAAAACAGAGCCTATGAACTCAAAGAGCTCATAAAATCAACAATATCCTCAAGAGAGGAGTAGTCTCTCCCCTGACCCCAACAAAACAAATTACAAATGATAGAAAATTTTAACACCCCAATGGAGGATTCCTTTCCCTCAAAAGATCTTCCATTACGGTCTCTCCAAAGGCCCCACCAAATACAAAAAGGGGTCACCCTCCAAAAAACTCTGGCCTGAGCCCCCACCCATTGGCCCCTCCACATATCTAACAACTCCCAAGATGACCGAGGCATGACCCAATGAATACCAAACAGGCCAAACATCAAACTCCAACAATCATGAGCCACAGGACAGTGCAACAAAAGATAATCCACCAACTCCCCATTAATCTTGCAAAGACAACACCTATTAACAATGATATGCCTTCGCTTCCTCAAATTGTCCAAAGTCAAAATCTTACTCCAAGCTGCAGTCCACACAAAAAAGGCCACCCTAAGAGGCGCCTTAGACCTCCACACCGTCTTCCATGGGAATAAGGTACCATGAAAACCAGAAAGGCACACAAAAAAGGTCCGGACCTGGAACATCCCCTGAGAAGAAGGCACCCAAATCAAGGAATCTGCCCCAGACCCCTCCACCTCTTGTCCGTAAAGGAGAGCCAAAAACCCAGTGACATCATCCAGCTCCCAATCTTGAAAAGCTCGCCGGAAACGCACATCCCAAGACAACCTTCCACTATCAAGGCGATAGTAGTCAACAACCATAGCATGTTTGTCAACAGCAATCCTGAAAAGCCTGGGAAACAATAAGGCCAAAGGCCTATCATCACACCATGGATCCTCCCAAAACCGGATAGTTCTTCTATCCCGAACTCTGAATCTAATATGTTTGGAAAAGGCATCCCACCCCTTACCAATGGCCCTCCACACCCCCACTCCACTAACAGACCTGACTGGTCTAACTGACCACCCTCCTCTTTCCTCCCCAAAGCGACATGAGATAACCCTTCTCCATAATCTATGTCTTTCCTTACCAAATCTCCAAAGCCACTTACCAAGATTAGTTAAAAATAAAAATAAGAATCCATAAAAGAGAAGAAATTCATGGAAACAACCAAAAATATTGTTGTGAAAGGAAAAAAAGAAGTATCAAAGGCTTGCAAAGAAGAAGAAGAAGAAGAAGAAGAGAGAGAGAGAGAGAGAGAGAGAGAGAGAGAGGGCATCCACCGGCAGCGAAGCTTGGTCAGTGGGAGAACAAGAGAGAGCCAAAGTTGATCGTGCAAGAGTTTGAATATTTGAAATAAAATATAAGCCGAATTATGTGATTATTTTAATATAAAATTGTTTTATAAAAAACAACTTTAAAGTAATTATATAATGACAACCGTCTTATGGGAAGTTACTAAACAATTCCTCATATTTATACTTTAACAAACCTTTCTTAAAAATCCCCAAGAATGCACTTATCAAAAAAGAGAAATCCTCAACAATGCGACACACATGTCGGAAACGCCTCCATGGTGTGTCGGAGGCGTGTCCACAGCTATGTTACCTGGACTCGCCGGAACTGTCAAGAGTGTCTGTGTCAACACGACAGGACGCCGACACGAACACCGGATACGAGTCACACTCCTCATTTGTCTACCGGACACAGCTGCCATTGATGGTGGTGCTAGAAAGCTGGTTCAAAAAATGAAACGGGGTTGGCTACCATTGACGATGGTGTTAGTTCTTCAAAGGTTGAAGATGTGTCTCGGCGAGCATGCTTCAGATCTTTCCTATGATGCGTTATTAAATTTAACGGCTAAGATGAAGCTATCTCTTAATGCTTTTTTTCATTTTACGGCAAATAGGATGCCACTTGTCCATGGTAGACATAACCTTTTAGTTAATGGGATACAGCTGTATGTAATGGATTACAGCTATAAGCCATTAATTACTGCTCTAACTAATAAAAAGTATTAGTATATTTTTACTTACAAAAATACAATACTCATTAGTTACGGCTGTAACTAATGGTTACTTTTCTTAAACAAATTTAAAAAACAACTGGCATATTTCTTTCAAATTGTATTCAAAAGGTCCAACTAACATAAATAAGAGGTATAGCTATGGCATGAAAGCTGGTCAATATTTATTTTTTATTCACCTTCAGATATATATATATATTGGAAAATTGATGGCTCATACATTAAAAATTTATACAATTTTCATTTATAGAAGTGTCCAAGTACCCATGTCTAGATATTGGACAGTTTTTAGCTGAGTCCCCGTGTCCCTTAATTCGATGAATTGACGAATCCGACCTCTAGACACGCACCCGTACCCGAGTCCGGGAAACACAGGTCCAAAGCGTGTTCGAATATTCAAAAATATATAAAAAATTCGGACACGTATTTTGGCGTGTCTAACACGTGTTGGGGCTTGTCCAGCGTGTGTCGGTTTCTGACACGTGTCCAACACTGATTCTTTGCCCTTTTAGGTATGTCCATGCTTCGTAGGCAATAGGGCTTTGTTTCCAAATTTTATTGTATTATCCAGCTTCTTTTGCTCTTTATTCTTTGT